TTCATGCGAGTTGCTATGTAACAAAATCATGCAACGGATGTCCCCCCGTCTACTCGGCCAAGTAGTCGAGTTCGTGGTGGGGATCGCTTGAGCCGTGAGCGCCCTTCGGTATGCCTTTAATTTCAAACTTCCTACATAGTCTTTTGTCTGATTATTTTTCACCTTATTTTCCACCGCAATTAATAAATCAAAAGAGGTTGCAATATTGATTACTTCAAGGTTTAACTTGTTCCTGCCTTTAAATAATTAACGCTACTTGAGGGCGCCTCAAGTTAGTCTTCACCCTTTATTGTCCGGAGTAGAATCCCCTATGCTTAAACGAACAACTCCTAAGAAGATTTAAACTGGAAGTTGTCTAGAGTTTGAAAACTTTGTTTTTATGATACCTAGTTAAATTAGAAGCAGTATAAAGTTTACTTCAATAGTTAATTACATTTTCTTTGAAATATGTGCCTGCTTTAATTATATTATAAACAACGCGAACATTACAAGAGAACGTTTTACATAAACTGATGCGAAATTCATAAGAACAAGCACAAAGTAAATAAAATACAAAGTTGAAGAAAACAGAGAATGGGAGCCACTGGCAAGTCAAATAAATAAAAAAAAAAGAAACTGTCCCAAAGCACCACAATAAGCTGAAATTATTTTACCAACGAATTATACTTTTCTATTTTATGAATCACAATAAAGCTTTTCTATCAGTATATTTTCTTTATTTTAATGTACTCTGTAAGAATCCTCAAGGGAACATCTTAAAGCTATCTACTCGAACAGTATTTACAGGGTTTGTCCGGAAAGTAATAGGACTGAATTCCTTCCGCCGCGACTGTACTTCGAAGCATGCGAGCACCGACTGCATTCGATAGAGGCCATTCCTAGCTAACGAACGAGCGGCTGGTGAGTTGTCTCCGAGCACCTGGAGAGTCAGAACAGGCTTTTTCGCGCGACGTGTTTCTGTGAGTGGTGCAAGCCGAAAATGCAGCGTTCGTTAGAGCAGAGGTACGCGATTAAATTCTGTGTAAAACTCGGTAAATCTGCGACGGAGACGTTTGATATGATCAAGCAGGCTTAGCCAGATGTTGCTTTAGCAAGAAGTGGTGTGATTCGGTGGCACCAGGCCTTTTCAGAGGGCCGGGAAGAGGTTGCCGATGTAGACCGTGCTGGAAGACCAGGAAGACATCGTCCACCATGAATTTATACTTCCTGGACAAACCGTCAACGCCATGTTTTACGTGGAGGTGCTCAAGAGACTCAAACGAAGGGTCAAGACATCGCAGCCGACTGGAAGTTGCACCACGACAACGCCCCGGCTAACACCGCCTTTCTTGTGGACAGCTACCTGACCAAGGCCGGCATCCCAACGCTTCCGCAGCCGCCCTACAGCCCAGATGTGGCCCCCAAGGACTTTTTTTTGTTTGCTCGCCTGAAAAGGCGAGCATTTTGAGACGACAGAGGGGATCCAAGCAGCATGCACCGCGGCTGTTAAGGCTATTCCGGAGAATGCCTTCCGTGACGCCTTCAATGCTTGGAAATCGCGCTGGCAGCGCTGCATCGACGCAGAAGGAGCCTATTTTGAAAGTTCTTAAAGAATTGTTACGATTGGCTCTATAAATTTTTTAAATCGACTCAGTCCTATTACTTTCCGGACAANTTTACCAACGAATTATACTTTTCTATTTTATGAATCACAATAAAGCTTTTTTAGCAGTATATTTTCTTTATTTTAATGTACTCTGTAAGAATCCTCAAGGGAACATCTTAAAGCTATCTACTCGAACAGTATTTACAGGGTTTGTCCGGAAAGTAATAGGACTGAATTCCTTCCGCCGCGACTGTACTTCGAAGCATGCGCGCACCGACTGCATTCGATAGAGGCCATTCCTAGCTAACGAACGAGCGGCTGGTGAGTTGTCTCCGAGCATCTGGAGAGTCAGAACAGACCTTTTCTGTGAGTGGTGCAAGCCGAAAATGCAGCGTTCGTTAGAGCAGAGGTACGCGATTAAATTCTGTGTGAAACTCGGTAAATCTGCGACAGAGACGTTTGATATAATCAAGCAGGCTTAGCCAGGTGTTGCTTTAGCTAGAAGTGGGGTGTTTCGGTGGCACCAGGCCTTTTCAGAGGGCCGGGAAGAGGTTGCCGATGAAGACCGCGCTGGAAGACCTGAAAGGCATCGTCCACTATGAATTTGTTCCTCCTGGACAAACCGTCAACGCCAAGTTTTACGTGGAGGTGCTCAAGAGACTCAAAGGGTCAATCCGGTCCGACAAGACTGGAAGTTGCACCACGACAACGCCCCGGCTTGTGGACAGCTACCTGACCAAGGCCGGCATCCCAACGCTTCCGCAGCCGCCCTACAGCCCAGATGTGGCCCCCACGGACTTTTTTTTGTTTGCTCGCCTGAAAAGGCAAGCATTTTGAGACGACAGAGGGGATCCAAGCAGCATGCACCGCGGCTCTTAAGGCTACTCCGGAGAATGCCTTCCGTGAAGCCTTCAATGCTTGGAAATCGCGCTGGCAGCGCTGCATCGACGCAGAAGGAGCCTAAATTTTTTTAAATCGACTCAGTCCTATTACTTTCCGGACAAACCCTGTATCTTATAGACTAACTAACTGAGAAAAACAACATCGTCTTCATCATTGGTAATGTTGCCTCGTCTTTTGTATTCTTAACTTCGATTACAGAGAGTTCCTTTCTTTGTAAATTTCCCGAGATACGTTTTCATTATATCGCGGTGGACTTAAGATAAAAGGCAAATACTTTGTTTACCGTTACGTAGGTCCTTTGTGTAATTTTCCTCCTTGTTTCCTATTACCGACAGTCATTTCAGAAAATGCTCTCCACGCTCAATTAAGCTTATTTACGAAACGCGTCTTGGGGGTTTTTGAAAAAATTGAACCTTTTAGAATTAACCGAAGCGAATAAACGATTTGGGAACTTTTAATTGAAACTGCCAAAATGTTGGACGAATTAGACCCGTTTTCTAGCCAAGCCCATGTCGTGATTGATACAGTTAAATTTCTTATTTCGTCGGAAATCACGAACTCTATTGGGCTCGCTTTCTACAAAAATTTAAATTTTAATCAGAGCAATTTTCCGCATGTTACCTTCTTAGAAAACAAAATTTCAACGTCATGCCAAGTCCATTGGTCACTGTCAAAATGTAAAGGAAATATATCGAATCAATTCTCAACCTTTAATATTATCAATAAGCACTAAACAATGCCGTCTGCATAATTCTATATCCAATCCTAATGCGGTAGTGTTTTTATAACGAGAAAGAAAGTTTTCTAGGAACTCATGTATTTATTTAAACGAATTTTTTATAAAAGTAGATAATTTATCTGATACTTATACGTTCTCGAGTGCTTATTTATCTCACAATATACTTAATATATCACCCTGTATTCACCTTTATATTCGCTGAGTTTGTCATATATCGACTGACTCAAAATGCCAATCAGCTACTTATACGATCATCGAACTTTCATTATAATTCCTCATTCTTCAGAAAAACTCTCGAAATTCTTTAGTTACGCGGTTGTGTATGTGTCATCTAGCGTATGATTTATGACCCTAAGTGGTCCGCCGACGAAGTGTAGGCGTTATTGATTAGAACTTTTCGGAATTGTTATAGAAACCATCACGGCAGTCCTGTTAGTAATCTTGTCATTTTAATAATAAATTTGTTTCATAAATGCTACAACATTATTATCTACAACTCTCCAGCGTCAGATAACTTACTTTGCTTTCTCGAAGTGCATTTAAAGTTCAAGGGGTAACGCATCTATTTTTATTTTCCAACATAGACAAGTATATTTATTGCTATCTACGTGAAGACGCAGCTGGAGATTTAACCCTTGAGTAGATGAATGTAATTTCCCCGAGGATCCGGTGCTCGGCGTGACGCGCCACACCGCGTTGCGACGCCTTTTGGCGCTACATTTACGTTTAAGCGTAAACGTTGATTACCGCACCGAATGTAAGACGAAAGTGGAAAAGATACAACAATTTTCTGCACTTACATACCTCCCGCAGAATTCGTTTCCGCTTCGTTCCGGGCATATCCGTCGTTGTGCTCTTCCGTCGCCATCATTTGAACAACCGGTGGAATCTCTGCAAAACGACCAAAACGTTGGTTTAAATTCATTCCGCCAAACAACTTGCAAGTGTAGGTACAGCTTCGTTTCCGGCCCAATTGCAATTTTATATTACAATTATTGAATCAATCGGAAAACATCGACGAATTGTTACTTAAGGGATTACGAATTGTAAGAATTTTGATTATTATAGTGACAATTGAGAATAATATGGGGCACAAGGAGAAACCTGCTCATTGTTAGAAAAAAGGAAAACGCATTTACTTCCAAATCCCATCAGATTACCATGTTTACCGAATAAGAAATTCTTTTACCAAAATAAGTTCGTATTGTGACCAAAATTATTTAAATTAACAATTGAAACTTTTGTAACTGCTTATGGACTACTTTTCTATCAAGTCACCTATCAAATGAAAATTATACAATATTTGTGAAATTGTGTCTACAAGAAACATTTTTCTTTCATAAAATGTTATCGAAGTTCCGAAAATAGTAACAAATTAAAAATTCTAGTTACATATAACTCAGTAACAACACACAGATTCAGTTTCATCAATCAATTTTGTCTTAATCTCTCATTAAAAAGAGTTGTCTCCNGCGTCAGATAACTTACTTTGCTTTCTCGAAGTGCATTTAAAGTTCAAGGGGTAACGCATCTATTTTTATTTTCCAACATAGACAAGTATATTTATTGCTATCTACGTGAAGACGCAGCTGGAGATTTAACCCTTGAGTAGATGAATGTAATTTCCCCGAGGATCCGGTGCTCGGCGTGACGCGCCACACCGCGTTGCGACGCCTTTTGGCGCTACATTTACGTTTAAGCGTAAACGTTGATTACCGCACCGAATGTAAGACGAAAGTGGAAAAGATACAACAATTTTCTGCACTTACATACCTCCCGCAGAATTCGTTTCCGCTTCGTTCCGGGCATATCCGTCGTTGTGCTCTTCCGTCGCCATCATTTGAACAACCGGTGGAATCTCTGCAAAACGACCAAAACGTTGGTTTAAATTCATTCCGCCAAACAACTTGCAAGTGTAGGTACAGCTTCGTTTCCGGCCCAATTGCAATTTTATATTACAATTATTGAATCAATCGGAAAACATCGACGAATTGTTACTTAAGGGATTACGAATTGTAAGAATTTTGATTATTATAGTGACAATTGAGAATAATATGGGGCACAAGGAGAAACCTGCTCATTGTTAGAAAAAAGGAAAACGCATTTACTTCCAAATCCCATCAGATTACCATGTTTACCGAATAAGAAATTCTTTTACCAAAATAAGTTCGTATTGTGACCAAAATTATTTAAATTAACAATTGAAACTTTTGTAACTGCTTATGGACTACTTTTCTATCAAGTCACCTATCAAATGAAAATTATACAATATTTGTGAAATTGTGTCTACAAGAAACATTTTTCTTTCATAAAATGTTATCGAAGTTCCGAAAATAGTAACAAATTAAAAATTCTAGTTACATATAACTCAGTAACAACACACAGATTCAGTTTCATCAATCAATTTTGTCTTAATCTCTCATTAAAAAAAATAAAAATAACAAATGAAAAAATTAAGTATCTACCTATAAAATTAATTTAACAAATTTTACAACTCTAAAAAGCTTTTAAATAGTTCCTCGAATGTGTCAATTAAACAATACATATAAAACTACTTAAATTTTAACTATCCAAATAAGTCAATTAATTATCAATTCGATAGCAAAAATTTATCATGTCGTAACATAGTTTATTTTCTGGCAGTTTAATAATAAATCAAAAAGTTTACATTTTTCAACAAAAGTTACTACTATTAAAAGGTGAATTTTGAATCATATTATGTTTATTTAACAGCTTCTGTCACCACCTCAAGCTTTACAGAGTCAAAATTAATTACTTTTCTATTGCACTATGATACATTTGGTATAAATAATGATTTATTATTGAATTTATGTGAAATTGAATACGTGATTGTGCAAATAATTTTAAAATAAACACTTTGTAACTTTCAAAACAAATTAACACTTCAGGTATGCCTTTAATTTCAAAATGCCTAACTTTAATTGTAAAAGTATTCGTTCTTACACAACGACTTTATGAACAATAAATAATCAAGAATTGATTAAAACTGATTTTATGAGTATACGCAGTGCAAAAGTAGTTACAATAAATAATAGACTGTAGCGTTAACTAACTAACTAACTACAAAGTTTTACTTAAAATTAATTAAAATAATCAACACTGCACGTTTACGACCTTGCAACTGTCTTTGCACGAGGTGCATTTGTTACCAACTTTGTTGCCGTATGATTTAAATCTTCTTGGTCAAACAACTTTTCGTTTGCAGATCGTTCTTCTTGGAATTTAAACCACCCGAGTGGTCGAAAGACTGTACCGCTAATTAAATTATTAACAGCAACGTTCAGCTTGCCCCAAAAGACACAAAAAAATACAAACTTAACGCGACCCCCCGTTAGCATTATTAATTCTCGATCAGATCTGCATCGGCGATACATTTTAATAATACCGCCATATATGTCCATACGCATACGAAATGATGCATACAGGGTGTCTCAAATTATAGTTACGTTTAAAATCGAAAACGTATTAGATGTGATCATTTGTTTTAACGAAAGCGCTAGATTTCGTTACATGCATGATCTAATAACCGAACATTTTAATGAACAAAAAATGATTTTCTATAGAATCAAGCACTGTATTTGTAGGTTAAGTGAAATTTTGTTATTAGATTTTGACTGTACAGGGGTTATTGAAACCCTTTTTGAAATATATTTTTCTTAATACTTATTAATGAACAATAAGAACTTCAAGCTACAAATGTAAAGGGTAGACTTTCGTGAAAGACCAGAATGTAGTCAATTTTTCATGTCTAGTTCGGTCATTTCCTTCTACTAACCATTTTAGGCCCGTATATCCGTCCAGTACGATATTAAAAAGGTTTATACAAATTCGTGAATGTAGACAAAAACTCATCGCAAACTAATTCTTTTGGCGTTTAACGGCGATTTCTGAGACACCCCGTAGGTACTCCCACAAAATTTCATGTTCAGCGAGTAGCTAACAAAGTCTTTTGTTTTTGTTTGCATTGGGCGCCAGATCGAATGTCCGAAGACGCGATGCATAATTAATAATAGTACTGTGTTTACATGCCAAGTACTTACTAATGCACGGTGCAATATGCGATCTGCTCTGTTGGTATCCACGGTCGCATCGGTTGCAAGTGATGCCGATCACGCCATCCTTGCAGGGACACTGTCCTGTTACCTGGTTACAAGTCTTGCCCGATGCTCCTATGGGATGACAGTCGCATGCTGAAAAACAAAAGAAACGCTCGAAATTAGTCTCGCATACTTATATATTCATGGAATGGAACATTAAATAAAATCTGCTTGTAGATTGTTAAAGGTGTAAGTTTGGAGCGTGACGCTGTACGGGTGCGAAACATGGACGTGGGCGCGGAGGAAAAGAAACGGTTAGAAGCGTTCGAAATGTGGTGTTACTGGCGAATGATGAGGATGCCGTGGATTGAGAAGGTTAGAAATGAAAAGGTATTAGAAAGAATAGGAGAACAAAGGACTCTACGAAAGTCAATAGAAAATAGACGAAATAGGTTGGTAGGACACCTTCTTAGGCATATTAGAGACATATTAAGGGCAGAAACAGGAGTTAAGTGGAATAGAGGTAGACGTAGATTAGATTACTGTTCGCAAATAGTTAAGGATATGGGATGTTCTTGTTTTACTGTCTGCCTTGGCCCAAGTTTTTCTGTGGTTTCCTTGAACCACTTAGGCAAACGCTGAGGCAGTAATATTCCACAGATAATCTTTCACTCTCTTCTGTCTTCATTTCGTCCGTCTCATCTTTCTCACCCGAACCACCACCCACCCATTCCCACGATTCCTGAAAGCAGGCTGAAGAGGGCCTTCCGCCCTACCTTCCGGCATAGTCCGGAGGGACTGCCCGCCCACCAGCATTACTAGCTGGTGGGAATGAAACACCCAAAAGTTTTTTTTTTCTTGTTTTACGGAAATGCGAAGACTAGCTCAGGGTAGAAAGAAGTGGAGGTGTGTGTCCAACCAGTCTTAGGACTGACGACCTTATGATGATGTAGAGATCAAGAAAAGGTTGGAAGCGTTCAAAATGTGGTGTTATAGACGAATGATGAAGATACCGTGGATAGACAAGGTTAGAAATGAAGAGGTATTAGAATGAATAGAACAGATGACTTTATGGAAGTCAACAGAAAATAGGCGAGATAGGTTAGGTAGGACACCTTCTCAGGCATGAAGGTCTAGTTAGAGACATATTAGAGGCAGAAACAGAAGTTAAAGGTACTGTTCGCAAATAGTTAAGGATGTGGGATGTTCTAGTTTTAGGGAAATGCGAAAATTAGCTCAGAATAGGAAAGAGTGGAAGTGAGTGTCTAAAGACTTTATGATGAAGATGATGATGTAGAGAACTTGGCTACTGCATGGTCCCATAAATTTATACGGAATTTTCAAAAGGAATTGTAACACTTTTGAAGAAACAAATAATAACACCCCCATATGATTTCATTTATATGAAATCGAGTACCTACGCAGAATTCGTACCACTGTTGTATATATCGTAGGAGTTAGTACGCGTCCCAATGTTTATCACTTGTCAAGCCTTTCGCCTACTGCTATATCTAGGCACCAAGAGTTGTATTGGGTGCCGACAAGCAAGACCGAGACCGAGACCAAGTGCCAAGTGCACGCAGCATTCTGTGTTTCACCACTTAACAGATCACGGTTGGTTCTTATTGTTGTAGTGGTTGTTGCTGTCAATGGAAAAGAAAACGAAACGTCTAACTACAAGATAAACGTGCTCGAGGTGCAACCGACGGTGGTGTCGTTAGTGCGAATCGGAAAAGAAACGTTAGTTATTCAGCGCCAACTCGAACGTAAACTTAATTAATTGTCTCTGCTTGTGGAGTAAGAGCGTGGGGCTTTTATGGTGTTAATTAAACGCGTATCTACAAAATGGTAATAATAATAATAATAATAAATTAATTACCAAGACGTTTCAAGAAAATTCTGCACTGATTGCAATGTAGTATTTGTACTGTTTAGCACGTTTGGACGGATAGAGTAGTTCAATTCACATTTTATTCTTATTTTGGTTGACAAAGGAGACGTAGATGGCTGAAAAATGCTTTATATTGCATACAGTAACTTTTTGAAGTGAAACTTTTTTACGTACGGTAGGGTAAGTTCGTTTCATGCGAGTTGCTATGTAACAAAATCATGCAACGGATGTCCCCCCGTCTACTCGGCCAAGTAGTCGAGTTCGTGGTGGGGATCGCTTGAGCCGTGAGCGCCCTTCATTGCAACGTTAGTTACAGGCAACTTCGGCATGTACGAGGGTGGATTGATAAGTTTCCGGCCTGACCAAGAAAAACAAGGTTTTTAAAAATTTTTTTTTTTTATTTCTCAACATAATCTCCTCCAAGGCTGATACATTTCTCATAGCGGTGTTCCAGTCTATTAATGCCATCTCTATAGACTGATTCGTCAAGCTCCTCAAAATAACCATTTACAGCTTCGATTACTTCTTCATTGTCCGCAAATCTCTTACCGCCAAGCCATTTTTTGAGATTAGGGAACAGAAAATAGTCACTCGGGGCTAGGTCTGGAGAGTAAGGAGGGTGCGGCATCAATTCAAACTTTAGATCGTTGATTTTAGCCGTCGCAACGATTGACGTGTGCGCTGGTGCGTTATCGTGATGAAACAAGATTTTTTTCTTCGCCAGATGAGGTCGTTTAATTTTCACCTCGTGGCTCAAACGTTGCAATAAGTCTGCGTAGTATTGACCAGTGATAGTATTACCCTTTGCAAGGTAATCAATGTATATAATACCTCTTGCATCCCAAAAAACAGTAGCCATAACCTTGTTCGCCGAAAAAATTGTTTTTGCCTTCTTTGGAGTTGGTTCCCCTGGTCCAATCCACTGTTTAGACTGTTCTTTGGTTTCAGGAGTGTAGTGGTGGACCCACGTTTCGTCAACGGTTACGAATCGACGCAAAAATTCGCTTGGATTACGCTTATACAATGACAAATTTGCGGTAGAAATGTTTTTTCGAATCAATTTTTGGTCGACTGTTAGCAAACGCGGCACCCATCTTGCACAGAGCTTTTCCATATGCAAATGTTGGTGCAAAATATGTTGCACACGTTCATATGACATCTTACAGGTCTCAGCTATCTCACGCACTTTCAATCTGCGGTCTCCCAGCACTATTTGATGAATTTTTTCGATCATATCTGGAGTTGTGACCTCAACGGGGCGTCCTGAGCGAGGCCCATCAGAGGTGCTCACACGACCCTTTTTAAACTCGGAAACCCACTGCTTAACGGTTGAATATGACGGGGAGGATGTCCCCAGTGTTGAGTCCATCTCTTTTTTAATTTCCTTCGGCGTTAACCCCTTCAAATAAAAGTATTTGATGACAGCACGATTTTCCTGCTTTTCCATTTTTACGAAAACCACAGAGGCGTCTTGTTCAGCGTGCTGTCAAACCTACACTAGCAAGGAGATCGGGCTGAAACTATAGCTACAAGCTATCCAAGGATGGTACTATAGAATGTCACCTCAAGGTAGGCCTAGTGGCGTCATCTCTTGGTTAGGCCGGAAACTTATCAATCCACCCTCGTATATGTATATATATATATGTACATATTTCGAAGGGTGAGCTTTTATTAAGAGGAGGTTCATAATGTGCGAGATGCTTCGAAAGGTCCCCTCATTTTACGCTGCCAAATATCTGATAAATCTCCGTGCATTTCCGTGGAAATTCTTCTTGTAACTGCGAAGTGGAGAGAATTTTAGAGTCCATAATGTGGATTTAGATAATAAACTTTAACGACCATGCCGCTCAAAGTTATACATGTTATACATGCATCCCGGTTATTATTTCATACTTTTCGTTTGATGTTTTGCAACAAATACACAATTTTAGTTTAAAATCAGCTCAAAATACAAACAATCTTATTACTTACTTTATTTATAGTGAGAGAGTGTGTAGCCAGCCATAAATAAATTTAACTATAATTTGCAGTAACTCTAGAGAAGGCAGGGAGTGCTTTTACGGAAAGAATGAACGAAAATTTAAAAAACCTTATACAATCTTTAGTCATTATATTAGTGAATTAATTTTGATTAATTTTATTCGCTTCAGATAATGAGGAAAATTGTTGATACTGTCGTTCTCTTGCCGGGGATTGAACCCGGGCTTTTGGTTTTACGCACCAGATACTCTATCACTAAGCTACAATGAGCTGACAGTAACAACACAATCATTATATTATTAATGAGATACTTTGAATTTTTGTAGCGTTGATTCTGAATTAATTTATTTAAACTCTTAACAACTTTCGGACTGCAATTCCATCTTCAGAAGATAGGGAAATGCTTCTCTGGTTGGCGCATATGTAAAGCGACCTGACCTAAAACTAAAAAAGCTTTTGTGTGTTTCATTCCCACCAGCCAGTAATTCTGGTGGGCGAGCAGTCCCTCCGGACTACGCCGGAAGGCAAGGCGGAAGACCCTCTTCAGCCTGCTTTCAGGAATCGTGGAAATGGGTGGGTGGTGGTTCGGGTGAGAAAGATGAAACGGACGAAATGAAGAGACGGAAGAGAATGAAAGATTATCTGTGGAATATTACATTTGCCTAAGTGATCCAAGGAAACTGCAGAAAAACTTGGACCAAGGCAGACGGACCCGGAATAGAACCGGCGTCCTCCCGAATGCTAAGCAATGGTCTAAACCTCTAGGTCATGCCGCTCGGTACCTGACCCATCCGATCAAATATAAACGGGTTCAGTGGAAACTTATGTTTAGGGATTAAGTAACTTAGGGATGACGTACCTTAGAGATGAAGTACCTTAGGGATGAAGTACCTAAGGGTTGAAGTACCTTAAGGCTAAGTTAAATTAGAGAAACAATGACGAACAGGAGTGCGAATGATAACCTTTTTGTATTCACAAAGCGTTACATATTATTCTGCTTGCCGTGTATCTCGATCGTCTTGTTTTGCTCAACTAAGAAAAACTGTCATGCAGATAGCGAAATTATTCTGTGAATAACAACGATTTTACGATGCCGACCGCGACAAAAGGCCCCTTTGTTTCCGTAAAAGCGCGTGATTCCACGACCCGATGTGTCGACTGAGATTCGCGAAACATGCGTTTGCTTCTTCCATTGTTACGACGAAGATTAACTGCTCCAACTCTGCGCCTTCTCGAGGATCATCCTGACTGATAAGCAAACGTCAGGAGCTTATAACAATTT